GAAATAACTTGCTAAAATTAATACCAAATATATAACTGATCAAAATAAAAGAAGAGGGATTCTATCTCTCCATTAAAAGTCAGAAATTCTCCAGTTAGAGTTAAAAAAACAACCAAGCCCTGCCATATGCTGATGAAAACAAAGGGATAATAAAATACTAGGAAAATGTGTATTTTTTAAAAGCTGGCACACCAATATTATCGTTACAGAGTAAATATTAAAGCATGAAGTATTATTAGTGATAAAGAGTATCGTTACTTAATAATAAAAGGAATAATTCTCTGCTTTGTTCAATGCTGTTTTTTGACTGTCCTTAACAATGCCTGGCACATAGTAGGTGCTCAGTAAATGAATGGTTGAATTTATTAAATCATGAGGAAGAAACAGACCTAACATCATAGCCTTAAAATATAAAGAGAGCGGAACTTGACAAAATTCTAAGGAAAATTGGTAAATCTATAACAACACTGGGAGGTTTTTTAACATTTCTCACACATGAAATAGTAAGGTCAAACACAAAGTTAGTTAAAGATACAGATGATTTATATAACTGACTTAAATTCAATCTAACTGACATGCAGAGAACTCTATACCCAACAATTATAGGATACATAATTTTTCAAGATCACTTATAAAGTTAAATAGAAAACATTTATAAATATTAACTCTGCACAAGACCATAAAGAAGGTCTTAACAAACATTAAAGAATTTATATATAGAGCATGTTTTCTGAGTACAATGTGATAAAGTTAGAAATAAATTTAAAAACTTTTTAATCTTTGGAAATTTTTAAAACAATTTAAATTTAGTCTTCAAAAGAGAAATAATTATGAAAATACATAGAAAATCAATGGCAATAAAAACATTACGTATCAAACTTATAGTGCAAATAGCACAAAAAGAAAATTTCTTTGTATGTATGTATTTTTAAAAGAAGAATAAACATTAATGAGTTGTATTTCTAAATCCAGATATTACAAAATGAATAAAGGAGTACTATCTAGTGCAGTAGATTCAATAAAATATGGTAAACAAACTTCTGGTAAGGTTGATCAATAAAAAAAGAGAAGGCACAAATAAACAATATTGGAAATGATATAAAGATATAACTATGATTACAATAAAAAGCATTTGACAAATTAGTGCCAATAAATTTGGAATGAAATGACATTGATTTTTAACATAGATTTTAAAATTTAACTTGAGAAGAAATAGAAAATATTAGTAGGCCTATAATCATAAAAGAAATGGAATAATAGTTACATCTACCACAAAGAATACATGAGGTTCTTATCATTTTGCAGGAGAGTTCATTTCTAGCAAATGAACTCAAAAATGGAAAGTTCATTTTAGGAGGCTTGTGTATCCTTGATACCAAAACCAGACAATGACTGTACAAGAAAGGAAAATATAGGCCAATCTTGGTTATGGACATAAATGTAAAAAATCCTAGACAAAATAATAGCAATCCCAATCCAGAAATGTAGTTTTTTTAAAGATTGTGATCAACTGGGTTTATCACACAAATACAATGATGAATTACCATAAGAAAAAAATCTATTATTTTATTTCAGCACATTAATAAATTAAAGAAGGAAAACCACATGATCATCTCAGAGGATACAGGAAAAGCACTCAATAAAATTCAACATCCACTTATGATTTTTTTAGAAACCACAAAACTCTTAGCTAACTAGAAATAGAAGGAGACTTCCTACCATGAAAAAGTGTATTTACCAAAAACCTGAAGCAAACATTATAGTCGACAGTGAAATGTCTAGAAGTCTTTTTTAATTCAAGGAAAAAAGACAAGGATGACCATTATCACCACGTCTATTTACCTTTGTCCTGGAGGTCCTGTGAAAGGAACAAGTGAAATGTGAAAGAATTAGAATCAGAAACAAAACCATCATAGCTCTTTCAAATTCCAGGTCTGATAATTCCAATATCTCTGCCACATCTGAGTCTGATGGCTCTGTCTCTTCACACTGTGTTTGTCTTTTAGCACACCTTGTAATTTTTTGGTATACAAATAAAAGGAACTGAGGTAAATAGGCCTTTAGTGGATAGTTTTATATTTATCTGGCTGGCGGTTGCCTGTGTTTACCTTTTGCTATAACTGTAGGTGTCAGAGCCTAAAATTTCCTCTGGCATCCTGTTTGTCTGCTCTGCTGCCTTTAGGTTTCTCTGGAGACTTCTTCTTAAATAATGTCTGAGACACACAATTCTTTCATCTGTGTCCCCCTGTTATTATACAGAGGCCTTACTGACACGATGGTTCAGGGTGGGGAGAGGGGAATGTTCTATAGCCCATGATTAGGGCTCACACTTCTAGTGAGCCCTGCCCCTGGGTTCTGTAAAGCCCACTTCACAGGTACTTCTTGGTTTTGTTTTATTTTTTTTCCCCTTAGGTCAGACGGGAAGGTTAGAGGGGGCTGGAGTAGGATAATTTCCCTTCCTTCAGATTAGTCTGTGTCTCGTAAAATCCCGGTCAGTTAGACTCTGGTAAAATAGTTTCTCTTGAGGGCAGGCCTTGTTGAGAACAGAATGCTCTGGGCATGTTTCAAAACAGAATTTAAAATGTCTATACCAAGACACCCAAACCACAGTTAAAAGACAAATTCCATGTTGGCAAGGTTGTAGAGAAGTAGGGACTCTCATACCCTGCTGACAGATGTCTAAAAGGGCACAGCTTCTCTGAACAACTCAGTGTTATCCAGTAGAGCTGAACACACACATTTCCTCGGCCCCAGCAATTCCACTCTCAGATCTACACTCTGTATTACTTGCCTTTTTCAGTGAGTTCTTTGCACTGATGTGAAAGCAATTATCAGTAAAATGCTGGTGATTTAGTACAAATCAAGGTAGTGGTACCAAACTGTTCCAGTTGTCATTGTATTTTTTCACTGTCAGGCACTTGAAGTAAAATCATCATCATCATCATCATCACAAGCATCATCGTTAACCAGTTTTACTTATGAATTTTATTGATGCCATGGTAAAAATTATTAATAAATGTTATTAAATCTCAGCTCTGGAGTACATGTCTTTTAAACAGTCCCCTCCTGTGAAATGAAATGGAAAATATACGTAAAGTACTTCTGCACACCAGAGTAGGATGGTCCTCTCTCAAGGAAAAACACTTGTGCATTTTTTTGAGCTTTGAGTTGAACTAGCGTCTTTTTTCACATAACACCATTTCTACTTGAAAGAAAGACAGACAAACTATGGTTATTCAGACTTGGGATTTTGGCAGGCATTTTCTCATAAATGAACAAAGTGAGCCTGTCACTTCAAGGAAAGCAACTAACTGCATCTGTTGCCAATGATGAATTTTGAGCTTTCAAGCAAAAGTTAGAATTTTGGAAAGCTTACGTCCACTACTATAACCTTGACAGTGTCCCAACTTTTAGAAACTTCTATGATTAAGTTGGTGGTGATATAAACAAATGTGCTTTTTTGATACTGTATAATGAAATCTGTCAACATTTGTAATACATATAATTCAGTGAGCCAATGTTTTCCAAATGACCAAGAAAGATCAATGGGTTTTAAGTGTAACAGAATATGAGAAGTTCACTGACATAATTTCAGATTCCACATTGCAAACTTTAAGAAACTAAGATTTATTGACTTCTGATTTAGTATTTTTGATGAAGAAAATCAAAGTTATCTACAGAAGTTATTAAAATGCTCCTCCCTTTTCTAACTACATATCCAACTACTTTTCCTCACATAATTCAACCAAGACTGCATATTGTCACAGATTGAATGCAGAAGCAGATCAGACTTCCATCAAGACAGGCATTAAAGAGATTTGCAAAAATACAAAACAATGACCTTCTCCTTAATTTTTTTTGTTTGGTAAAATATAGCTATTTTTCATTAAAAGCATGTTATTGATGTTAAACATAATAAATTCAATATTGTTATTTTAAAACAAATTAGTAAATAAACATTCTTTAAAATTCTAAATTTTAATTTCAAACACCATAGACATCAATAGATATAATCCACACAGACAAAAGCTATTTGGGGTCCTTAATAATTTTAATGTGTAAAAGGATTCTGAGAGCAAAACTTTGAGAACCACTGCCCTAAAAAAAAAATCTCCCATACATTCTCCAAGAGACATGTACAAGGCTATTTGTTGCAACCATATCTGTGATTAAAATTTTTTTTAATTACTTAAAGTCTATCAATAAGGGAATGGATAAATACATTTTGATATAGTAATATAATATCTCCCTGAAATTAAAATGAATGAATGAATTTTACATGTATTAATGTGGATGATTCTGAAACATGTTGAGAGAAATTTTAAAATGTTGCAAAAGAAGAAGTACAGAACGAGACCATTTACATACATTTCAAAAACAGAGAGAAGGATATTTTTGCTTATGGATACTTGCATATGTAGTAAGAATATACCCTGTTGGATGCGGATATACTGGAAGATACATACCAACCTCAGGATACCAGTGGCAAATGGAGCCGGAGAAATCAGGGGAAGATTTGAACGTGTATGTGAATTATTTAGAAAAAGATGTGAGGTAGTAAATATGACACTAACTTAACATTTGCTTATCTGGAGCCATAGGTCTTGTTCTTTTCACTTTTTTTCATTTGAAACATTCCAGTGTTAAAATATACTTATTTTTAAAGGCCTCTGTGCAGTTGCCCTCAGTGAGTAAAGAAAAATTCAACTGCCTGGTTCCCAGGGGAATACATTTTCTCCATTTCTATCTCTGGGGCCTCACAGCCAGCTGTCCTGCTTTTTTTCTGGCTGCTTTATTGACCCTAATAGATGACTTGGGATATTTGAAGGGTAATGTCTTTTCTGTCTGCAGAGCTCTTGATCCTGGGTTCTCAGTCATGGCTGCAAAGGAAATTCTCCCTCGGATTCCTTACAGAACTCCTGCAGCTGTCAGGCAGGGCACGCAGCCAGCATACCCAGGGAACAACTCGAGCAGGCATCAGCTTAGTTCCCGCTTGGGGCAGGACTCCCAACACAAAGTATCCTGTTCCTTTTCCTTTTCCTTCTGAAGCCAGAGAGCAAGCCTTTGATTCATGTGGCGATGATATCATGTAGCCTGCTGGGTGTTGTTGGGCTCTGGTGTGCATCTGGGAGGCACCCAATGCCCCGAGCACTCCCTGGAGCCTCCAGAGCCCCACTGGATAATTCCATGGTAGAACTGAGACGATATTTTTTACCTTTAAATTCCTCCATTCAGCCCAGAAACCACACCAGCTTCCCGGAATTTTTATTAAGAATACCCTCAGCAACAATTTTCAGACTTCATGGCCTCTGATAAAGAGGAAAGAGCTTGATATTCCGGTTTTGTTTCTGTTTGAAGAGCATATCCCCAAAGGAATTGTATGTGTCCCAGATTCAACACAGCTGTTAATTAGAGCTGAGAACACTTGGTTGACCCCTGTGCGGCTAATTGCTAGAATTGAGAAGCGTCTCTAAGGGCCTCATATGATAACAACTGAAAATTGTACTGAGCATCACCTAACACTTCTGGAACCGGTTCAGGATGGGAAGCAATAGGCTCCCTGTGGTTCCTGGCGCAGGAGAGGCAGCTATGTGCTGAAGGAGCAGTATTAAGGATTCTCTTCAGTGATTAAAACACCCACATTTCACTTTGGATGTGTGACTTGAGGCAGTGTGCTCGGAAGGGCTTATCAGAGAGTTTCAAACTGTGCAGCAGAGCATTCGTGGCCTACTTTGGAGGCCTTCAACTACTCCTCTGACATCTCACCCCAGTGCCAGTGCTGCCACCACCTCCTGGCCAGTGCTGTGGGACAGGGTGTAAGGCAACCCTTGTCGGGACCGTTGACCAGATTCTGAGTTGCAGCTGATGCAATTGTTCTGTTTCCCCACATTAAACTGACAAGTCTAGCTCCTACAATTAGAAAAATATGTGGAAATCACCTAGTTCCCAGGCTGGCACACAAGAATGGGGATCACCTCTCCTCTGCCTGTTTGCTCTGTGGGCAGAGAAGACAGCGCAAACAACCAGAAACAGAAAGGTAGGCTGACAGAGAGGGCCAGAGCTAGGCCCAGTGGGAAAGAAGAGGAGAAAACAGAGGCAAGAAAAGTAGAGCAGAGAGGGATGGAGGCCTAGCCCAGTGGTAGAGCACATGCTCAGCACGCTGGAGATCCCCAGTTCTATCCCCATTACCTCTACTGAAAGATAAATAAATAAGTAAAAATTTAAAACATGGGATAAAAAACCCGAAAGCATTGAGTCTGTTGAGGAGAAACAATTCTTAAAAAAATAAATAAATAAAACGGAAAGTAAGAAAGCCCGAGGGGCAATGGTTAGGGGGAGGCGGGGAGGAGAGAAGAGAAAGGGGAGAGGAGGAGGCGCGCCGGGTGGAAGAGAAATGGAGAAGAAGAGAAAGGACAGCCAAACAGAGACAGAAGAGAGGTGGCTCCTCCTTCTTCTCCCCCAGGTCCTGGGAGAGAGTAAAAATCAGCAGGGCTGACCGTGAGTGTTATGGCCTTCTCAGCCAAGAGGCCCAGAACATACCCCAGATAGTTCAGTGCTCTGGCTGACTCCACTCCCTTGGCCTGGCCCAAGGAAGGTCGCCTGGAGCCAGCGGTGTAAGGAGAGACTCATGATCCCTTTTCCAGAAGAGGTCCAAACTGTGGGTCCAATTCCAGGAAGTGACAGCAGCAGAAAGCAACCCAGAGTCCGCCTTGCCCAGAGCCAGAAAGGGGAAAGACCCAAAGGGGATTGGAAGGAAAAGGGATCAATTTCATCTTCTTCTAGACCAAAGCGGGCTGATGGTGGTACCCTGTTCCACAGACAGCTGGGAACCCCACATCTCTTGAGTCTCTAATTGGACCTTCCAGGCTTTTCTCCTCCTAAAGGACACCTCTCATTGGCAAATGTGCAAGGAGGATGCCCTGTGTGCTCAGCAGTAATGGAGGAAATAGGGCAACAGAGGTGGCTGCTGTCTGCAGGCAACGGGCCACAGAAGAAAATCTAATACACGGAGAAATCGCAGCGTGCACCACAGAAAAGCATCAAATGATGAGCTAAATGGGGCAGTGCAGGCTCAGAGCCTGCAGGAAATGGAAGGGATGGCAAGGAAAGCTGGGGTAGTCAGGGAGACTTCCCGGAGGAGGTGAGACTTGAGGACAAGCAGAGGCCTTGAGGGTAAATGCAGAGGCAGAGTACCTTACTTGGATAAATTGACAAAGCTGATTCACTTGCTTTGAAGACTCATGTTAGAGAATGATGAGAAATCATGGTCTTTTATTGCCAAATTTACATGGAGCTCTGTATTTTGAGGCTTCTCATATAAATGTTCATAATTGCTCCTCATACAGTTTTTAAGAAAGAGTTTTTATTTTCAGAATTGGAAGACATCGTAGGTTTTATAGAGTCCAGGCCCCACACATTCCCTTTTTTTATCTGCGAAGTTTCATTTCTTTTATTTAAAAAGTCTGAAGGAAATTTGACAAAGTGCTAACACTCCACAGTTGGGTGGGTTGATGCTTGTTTATTCTATTTTTTTTTTATAATTACTGTACTTTAAACATTACAAAATAAGCTTAGTTAAGGGCTTTATATACCTGTGGTCTGAGGGGAACTTGAGGAATTGATTCATAAAATACAACGTCCTTGTATTTGAATTGGGTAATTAATTCAATTTGGCATCTATCTTTATGATTCTTGGGTGGGCTTCCTTTTGGCTGGCGTCTGTGTTTTGGGGTCATACTGAAGTGGTCTACACGTTACATTTGAGGAAATGATTCCCAAATAGGTCAAGTGACTAACTCAAGGTCACGCAGTTAAGTAGCTCCAGGACTGCAACCCAGGTTTTATTATTCTACTCAAATGGACTTACCAAAAAGTGTATAAATGCAGTTTTGTTTTCATTTATATTGAATATTTCCTATCATAGAGAACTATACTTAAAAAGAATAACTTTAAATGTTTTGTTTCCTTACACTAAAAGAAATACGTGATCATTACAGAAAATTTAGAAAACACAGGTAAGCCAAAAAATTTAAATCACCCATAATCACAGATTCAGTTCATAGACTTTGAAAATCATTAGAAGTGTTTATATTTTCATCTGACCTTTCCATATAGATCGCTGTACTTTAGGAACTAGTATCTCTGGTTCTCTTTAAGGAGAAACATGTTAAGCAGGATAATGTAGTGGGAAGAGCATAGGATTTGGAGGCCAAAGCTCTAGGTTCAAGCCCTGGTCAGTCATGTGTGATCTTCCATAAATCAATCAACTTTCCTGCACTTTAGTTTCTCATTTGCAAAATTATGGGGTTTCAGTGATCCACTTCTTAGCTTGCTAAAAATGTCTTTTCTGGGACTTTAAAATCAAGCATTGTAAGCTTACAACAGATAATTAAAACAAAACAAAACAGTATCTGACGTTTTTAAAGGAATGTAACAGCATGTTAAAATAGGCCTCTTCCTTTCTCGGGGTTTTGGCTGAGGCTCCAAAGCTGAAAACAATAGGTTTATGTCGCTCCCCACTCACACACATCCTAAGTGAGATACAAGACCGTCTAGGCAGGACCTGCAAAGAGATGCCTGGAGCTGGTTCTGCCACTTTTAGACCTTCACACACCTCCAGGCTTTGCAAGAGAAGGCTAAGAGAAGGGACCTACAGGCTGCCCTCTGATTCCACTGTAAAAAAGTCTTTAGTGAAAGACTGGCTGGTGGCACCTTGGACGGCAGAGCAAAGCTAGTGGGTCCCAGAGGGAACAAGCTTCACCACAGAAACAATAGGAAGTTTGTGCCATGAGAATACAAGGACGAGAGCTGGACTTGAGTTATCTCATAGACTCCATAAGGCCCTTTTAGATGATTCCAACAACAGAAAAACTGTGTTGGGGCGTGAGGGTGGAGAGGAGGTGTGATGGAATCCAGGTGATAAGGGAGAAATTTTAAGAGCCTACCTGACGTGGGTTTTGTCTAAGCAACGCTATAGTAGAATATCCCAGGGCAGAAGGGTCTCTAAACAAATCCTCAAAAGTACCCCATTAGAGAAATACCCGTTAGATCTGCCACTCACAGAGGGCTCTGTGCTTACAGCTGCAAGAACTGCTGAAGACCTTGCCTCTTTTTCTCTAACCCTCTCTCTCTCGGGCCCAGCTGGTGCAAGAGGAGGTGAAAAAAGAGATGACTCTGACCTCCCTCTTCACCATATCCTTCCAAGTCTGGTTGAGGCCAACACTGGTGGAAGGGAGAACTTTAATTTGCATAAGAAGTTGAAGTTTTCATATTAGACTGGACTGAACTTTTCAGTCCCTATGGATAGGGAAGAAAGATTGGAGAGAGCAGTTTTCAAGGGCTCTAAGATAAGATAGAACAAAGTTGCTTTCTGCTCAAATCCTCCCACTAGTTACAGGAGGATAACTCTGGTGAGTTGAGGAAGGACTGATTGCAAAGGGAAGCAGTACTGGTGGCCAGATCCCAATTAAGAGGCTGTTGTCTAGAAATTAGGCAAAAAGGCAATAGATAAATCTGGCAGGAATTAATGACTCCTTAGATGTGGAAGGGAAGTAAGGTGAATGACTCATATAAGCATCTCAAGTTCCTAGTCTGAGAGACTGGAAGATGGTGACTGGATGGATAGCAATGCCACTTCTACAGCTAAATGTGTGCTCTAGAGAGATTTCACACTCAGGTCAACGGCGCCACATTTTTGGAACCTTCAACTGAGGTCCTCCTGACCAAATGGCTTCTGAGCCAATTTATGAGTCATGTAAAAAATCAATCTCATTACTGTTCATTTATCTGTTTTTCATTTAATCCATCATTTAACAAATTTCTGTTAAGCGTTCCCTTTGCATTATGCACCGTGCTAGTCACTGCAGAGAAAAAGTCACAGTACACAGGGTCAGTCCTCCAGTTACTCACAGTCTATCTGCTCCACCTACTCCAGTTAAATACTGGGGTAACTCCGGGTTTTGTGGTCTATTCCCCCTTCAACTCCCAAGTGCCATTGCTTTTATGTAGAAAAAAGCAGAGTATTGTGTAAATTGGATATGTACTATCATTATATGACCTTATTTCCATTTGCCCATTTGTCCATTTTTATATCTTATAGAATTTAGGTTGTTACAACAACATGATCCAGAAATTTGATCTCTGTCCAAATTTGCACTTTCTAAATGTAAGCAGACACTCAAAATCAGTCTAAAAATCATTGGCACAAAAGGTACCCAAACAAGCTCATACAACTGTGTTCTCGCTATCTCTCCATCTCTCATTCTCTAACACGCACACACACACACACACACACACACTTGTTCATATCACTCAGATTCAGTACTCAGAATATCTAAGTTTGGTGCTAAGTCTTCTAAGGAATATAAATTTTAGAAACACAGTTCATTCTTTTCAGAAGCCCACAGCTTAGCAGGAGAAATAGATACATTTATAAATAGACATATGTAGGGAAGAGGGTACAGCTCCATGGTAGAGCACAGGCTTAGTATGCACAAGGTCCCGGGTTCAATCCTCAGTACTTCAATTTTTAAAATGTGGGGAAAAAGCTAGAAAAAAATATATGTGATACAAAATAAAGTGTGAAGTGATACAATAAAAAACTATAATAAGTTAAGGAGGGAGAAAGAATCTACACTAACCTCTTATATTTATTTATAGTGCTTGTTTTCTAGACCTCAGACACAGAGATCTGAGCTAATTATACTCCTCAATGTATTCAACAAACATCCTTTGAGTACCTACTATGTGACAGGCACCTTTCTAGGTACTGAGGGTATGTAACTTTTATTCTAATTGGGGCAATGGAAAGAATTAAAGCAAGGTGGTGGCAGAGCACACTATTGGGTGACTCTAGCTGGGTGATCAGAGAGAGCTTCTCTGAGGATGTGATATTAAACACCTGACTGACCTGACGGACAAGACAGAGCCCACCTGGAGAAGGAGGAATCACAAAGATAAGCAACTCAGACAAGGAGAACAGCTATTGCAAAGATCAAGCAAGAGTAAGTTTCACATGCTGCAGAGACTAAAAGAAGCCACATGTGCCTGGAGAACTGTGGGCACGGTGGGGAGACTGGAAGGAGATAAGGTTGGAGAGGAAGGCAGTGACCAGATAACTAGGGCTAGATTTTTAAATAATGTGAAGTTTGGCTGATCCTTAAATTCACGCATATGTGCACACATGCACACACACACGCACGAAGTTCCAAAAATGTTTCAAGTATTGGCAGAACTGCTGGAATCTGTGACTACTTGGAAGAAATAACATTCATTTGGATAGAGTTTAAAAACTCATTACTTTATATTCACATCTAATACCTAACTTAACTTAAATCTAAGGAACAAAAGGATACTTGCAAACTATACCTAAACTTCAAGCATTACCCATGGTGTCACCAAACAGAATTTAGGAAAAGCCATGGGCTCCTAAAGAATAATTTGAAAAAAGAGACCCCATGATCGCAAGCAGGGTGAGTGGAACAATTCCAACTATGGGGTGAAGAGTGGCAGTTTGGGCTGTTTCTCATTAGGCTGGAGATGATTTTGCCATATTCTCATCATTGGTTTTGGACAAGGCCCCTCTCTTATTTTATATTGTTATTTTTCCCAATCCCTACTCCACAGGTATCCTTTCTAATATGTTTGGAATATGTCCTTAGATAGGTATGTATCTTTGATAAATACATGGGTTGTTTTCCATGAATGTGATTTTAATTAGCCAACACGGAACTGTTCTATGATACTGTTCTGTCTAATTTATTTATGTGAGACTAGGCTTAAAGGTCTCTCTACGTTGCTCTGTGTATCTCTAATTCATTGCTTCCAGTTATGGCAGAGTATCTGGGGATAAGGATCTTCCATATTTTACTTACCCAGTCCCCTAGAGATGGATACTAGGCTGCTACACACTCCGTATGCAATGAACATCCTCATAAAGCTGCCCTTAAAGGCTGAGGTGGGCTACTCTGGGAGCTTAGAGGGCCATTAGGACTACTCTCACCCACCTTCGTCTGGTAAGGCTGGATTGTTCTCCTGAAAGAATGCACTAGTCCACATGTGCGTTATATTTTCATAAATGATTTATATAGAATACACTGAGTCTCAGAGACATACGGTGGGGGATTCAAGGTCAAACAGATATTAAGTCTCAGGATCAAGACCCAAAATTTCTAATTCTTTTTCCACTGGGAAAATGTCTTTCTGAGGACACTTACCCTTATCTACGTGGTTGTACACAAGCACAGACACAAAGTTTAGCTGAATTAATCCTTAAGGGGTATAATTATCCTTCACTGCCCCTCCTTCAATGATTACTTATTGAATGGCAGCTACAGGAGATACTGCTGTTTTCCTGCATGAGGTCACAGTTTTACTTCTTTTCATCAACAAACCACCTACCAAGCAGATATATGCTAGGGATATGCTCCTTCCTTTCCTTGAAGGAACTTACAATCTAATTTCCTCTCATGACCACAGTGAACATTAACACAGGTAGCAGATTCTCAAGAACTTTCTGTGGTTCTGTTTTCTTGCATTTGCATTTCACGCTCTCAGAATCCCTCAAAACTGATCATCTTACCTGGTCCCTGTGCTCCAAGAGTCTGAAGAAGAAAGAAAAGAAGGAAGGTAAAGAAGAAAGTTACAAGGCTAGTGGCCAGTGCCCAGTGTGTAGCACAGTGATTCTGCTGGGAGTACAGTGCTTTATGAGCAAGGATGGCAGAACCATAAATGGATCCATTTTAGCTGTGGTCGGGTATGCCCTTGGGTTTGAAATAATTACTTTCCTAGACATGTGGTTCCCAGATGAAATTCATGCTGTGATTTGATATTTTTAATGCAAAAGAGATTTTTTTTCTAGCAAAAATTCATCACCAACATGTCAAGAAATTTGATGACTAAAAATAATCTCCCCAAAGAGTGCATGAACGTGGTATGCAGACTTGGAAAGGAAGAACACACTAGCAAGTCTGTGTGAAAGAGAATGACACCACCAGTGAACTGGGGTCCCACCTTTCAAGCTGACTGATATTAAAAGACTATCCCACACGTCAAAGAATTTTTGTATCTATTAAATAAGAAATGATTTCAAATGCTTACTGTGAACACTAGCTTTCAAATTATATTAACCCCCTAAAGGCAATTACAAGTCAGGAAGAGTCCAGCACGAGATGCTCTTAACATCTCCTTTTTGATTC